AAGGACCAGAGTGAACATCTGGGTCTCTGCTCCCGACTTGCCCTGCTTTTAATTCCGTGACTTTGGAGAGAGGCCTTTCTTGTAAAGTGGGGGTCCCTCTCCCCTGCGTCGCCCGCTTCACGGGATTGTCGTGAAGGGCAGATGAACTGGTGTCTCGGAAAGTGCTTTCTGAGATGCAAATGCGCTGCGCATTGTTTTTCTGTGACACTAGAGGGGGCCTTCAGTTGGGGAAAAGATCGTGTGTTTACCGTGGCAGGGACGCAGGAGCGAACTGTCAGTGGGCAGAGACTTGAACTGGGGATTGCTTCAGAGGAAGAAGAACTTAGGCCGGAGCAATCCTTATCTTGGGAGAAAGGTGAAAGGCAACTCAAAGGTGTGCCTGGGATGGTGGAAGGAGCGTGGATTTTAGCCAGACCTAAGTTCGGCCCCTGCACTCCCTCACTATGCAGTGTCTTAGACAAGTTACTTCAACTCGGAGCCCCGTTTCCTTATCTCTGAAATGAAGTGGTTCTTGAGGATTACATGACTTCAGGCCTAAAGGGCCTTGCACAGAGTAGGTGAACAGTGAACGGAAGCTTTCTTCCTCTACCAGTCAGTGTGTGATGAGTCGTTCACTAGTGCAGTGGTTCTCAACCTTGGCCGCACATCAGAATCACCGGGGAATCTTTTAAAAATCCTGATTTCTGGGCCTCATCCTCCGGAAATTCTGTTTCTTTGTTATGGGGTGGGGCCACAACATTAGTAACAAAGAAACAGAATTTCCGGAGGATGAGGCCCAGAAATCAGGATTTTTAAAAGATTCCCCGGTGATTCTAATGTGCAGCCAAGGTTGAGAACCACTGCTCCAGTATGTTAGTGTTGAAGGGATGGGATTCTCTCTTCCCCACATAGCTTTCTGGCAAATGGAAAGAGAATTGTCTGACAGTAGGGGAAGAGCAGTGGTGACTATTTAGTTTTGTAGTATTTGCTTACTACGTTTTCCTACTCTACAGCTATCAAAAAGAAGCCCTTAGCATTCCTAAGCAACAGCTTCTTGAGGTTCTTAAGAATAAAGGAATTTCTGAGTACTCATTTGGGATAATAAAGATGGAGGCTTGGGGGGTGGGGGGGGGCGCAGAGACCAGTATTGACAAATCTCGCTCTTACCATTTTTTTGTTTCTATTTTTTCTCTTCTCCCTTTTCCAGGGAGAAGGCATTGGACTGAGAAAGGTTTAGTCCAGATAGGATTGACCTGAGGAAGGCTGAGTTTTCTTTTAATTTATTGATTTGAGAGAGAGAGAAACGTCAGTTTGTGGTTCCACTTATTGATGCATTCATTGGTTGCTTCTTGTATGTGCCCTGACCAGAGATCAAACCCACAACCTTGGCATATCGGGTTGATGCTCTAACCAACTGAGTTACCTGGCCAGGGCCAAGAAAGGCTGTTTTCTGAACTAGACTTGACATCTCAGCTCAGACCTTGGTAACTCAGGCAGCCCTGACGTGCTTTTAACGGCACCTGCGGCACATTAAGGACATAGCTTGCCCTGTCTTTGTCCCTCTGTATGCCACAGTTGGGTTTACTTACTCCACCCTAATCCCAGGCTGTGAAACCAAGTAGGTTTTATTTTTTGTTTAATTATTTGATTTATTCTTTCATTCAGAAAACATTTATCGAGCACCTATTAATTGTTATATGCTAAGGCAGGTAAATAAGGAACAGACCTAATTTAGTGGCTCAGGTGACCAACAACAGGTCGACTTCCTGCAAGCCCTCCATCTTCTCTTGTTTCCCAGGTCTGGTGATCAGATTCCTGCCATGTTCAGAGAGCCAAACCCAAGAGCCCTGGGCATCTATTCTCTGATCCATATCTGAGCTTTGACCTTTTCCTGCTCGTCTGCCTCTAAGACTGGAGTCTCAGTGCTGAGTCCCACCCCCCAGGGTTCCATCTAACTCTGAGGACATCCTCAGTGAAGCCCTCTAGACCATGGTCCACTTAGTCCTCAACACTCTCCCCATTGGGTGAAAGGTGAAAGGGGAAAAAATAAGAGAAGAAAAGAAGGCCCATCTACTCTGGAATCTCCACATAGGGTTGGCGTCTGGACTCCCTCTCTCTGAATCTATATGCCTGCCTGTCTTCATGATGATGTTGAACTGCCCCTGCCAAGCTTCCTCCTGGCTCTGCCAGGTTATACTTCTCTGTGTCCAGGAAATGAGGTGACTTGTTTCTACCTCCTCTTCTGTACTGTCCATACTAATGCACCCCAAACGCTGGGGCACGGAGAGTTCTGGGTAGAGCTGCAGAGCAGGCAGCATTTCTTGCCCTTCCATTCCTCTTCTCACCCGCAGGAGGCTTTGGTCAGAGTCCTTTCCCGTGTCCTAAAAAATCCTCTCTTTTCTTCAATTAGAATGCCAGAATCTCGAGGTAGTCTTAGCTAACGATTGATCTGATGTTTAAATGGCACTTCGGCATTAGGGACAGGCTGGGCTCTCCCTGGTGGACAGATGTTCTGCAGAAAATGAGCTGGCTAGCTCTTACCTATACTTGGAGGAATGTGTGGCCAGATGCTGAGGGCAGTGGGCTTTCTGGAGTTCATGGTTATCCAGTCTGTCCTTTAGAGTGGTCTGCCATGGAGTAAATAATGGTATTTTTTCAGCAGCACGCAACTGAAAATTTTCCATCTTTGCTCCCTCTCCTTTGTGAGGCCATGTTAAAAATAACCCTCCATAGAGTGAGCGTGAGAGGAGAGAGAATGAGCATCACCAAAGGGTATCATGTTGCTAGAACTGTAATCATTGTTATTAAGTCTAAAAATATTTTAGGAATAAATTGGAAAAAAATCTTTACCTGTAAACATGATACATTAACTATATTTGTTTGCTAGGGTTTTGCAATAACAAAGTACCATAGTGGCTTACACAACAGAAATTTATTTGTTCACAGGAAAAAAAAAAGGCTAGAAATCCAAGATGAAGATGTCAGCAGTGTTAGTTTCTTTTGAGGCCTCTTTCCTTGGCTTGTAGATGGCCATCTTCTCTCTGTGTCTTCATAGTTTTCTCTCTGTTCCTGCCTGTGTCCTGATCTCTTCTTCTAAGAACACTAGTCAGAGTGATAGGGCTAGCCCACCCTCATTTTAACTTAATTACCTCTTTACAGACTCTGTGTCCAAATACAGTCATATTCTGAGGTACCTGAATGAGTAGGACTTCAATATGTGAATTTGGGAGGGGGCACAATTTAGCCCATAAAAACTCATCAGAACTTTCATTTCGTAGAATACCCTTTCAGTCTTTAACCATATATAGCTGTATTCACTTTATGCTCTTTTTTCTTTTTTTAAAAATCCTCACCTGAGGATATTTTCTCCCTTGCTTTTCAGAAGATTGGAAAGCGGGGAGGGAGAAAGAGAAATAGCTACAGTGACTGCCCCCCCCCCCACGCCTGACAGGGGGCAGGGAATGAGCCTGAAACCCAGGTACATGCCAGAATTGAACCTGCAACCCTTCAGTCCATGGCTGACGTTCCAACCACTGAGCAAACCGGCTAGGGTGCACTAATTGACTTTTTAATAAAAATTCCCAGGGAGGATATTTATTTGTTTCACATTTAGCTGGGGTGTGAGTGAGTGTAATTTTTTTGGGGAGGCCCAGAACCTTTTCTCCATGGCTCTGGACAGGTATGTGAAAAATGTAATGCAAGCTAAAAAAGCGAAATGTGCTCTAAAAGTGAAAAGGTTGTAGGCTCTTGCTGGGAGGTTACTTTGCTCTGAGATTTTAAGTAGGGAAGTTTTAAGGAACAACAGGGTCAGCAGAAACAGTGTATTTAAAGGGGAGAGTGGAGATGAGACTGGAGAAGAAAGCAGGCGATATGCAGGCCCAGACTCAGAGTTTGGATTTAACTCAGAGTTTGAAACAGGTAAGAGCCCTTGAATGTTTCAGGGCCTGAGAGTGATGTGCATTAAGATTATTATGGCTGGATTGTTGATATCAATGGCCTTAGGGAGTCTCAGAATTGATGCATCACCAGCTGTTTGCCTCCCCAGAGGGCAGAAGTGTTCTATTTCTGACTCTACTGCAGATTCTCTTTTCTGCTGTCTGTGTTTGCAGTTTGTACCCAGTGGTTGCTTTCAGGCCCTTTCACCCACCAGCAGCTTCATGTTGTTGACTCTGATTGCTGACATTTATCTATGCACTTCATTTTCCTGATAGTCTTATTTATATATTTATTTGTTTTTGTATTTGCTTCTGTCTCATAATTTGGCATTTAGGAAAAAACCTTGGCCTTTTTTGAACAGTGCCAAGCCAACCAGAATACTACTTTTATTTGTGTGATAAACTGACACATG